ACTCTCAGTAGCTTGCCGGGCTCTCTGAGAGGGACCTGAAAAAAATTCCAAAAGAGAACCACACACCATATCCAACAATTTAAAACATTAAAAAAAAAAAATCTTCTCATCTTCTCAAGATTTTGGTTAGAGCCCAGTGGGGTAAATCCAGCCCCCAAGTCCTGCTGAACTTTGAATCCAGTGGATCTTCACATATTTTCCCAGCCGCCCAATTCAAAACTGGGTGGTGGGGGGGCGCCCACGATTGGGAGTTACTTGCCAACTTTGAAGTGAAGATTTCTTCAGTTTTTCCATCCTAAGTATTTAAGTTCTCTAGCATGAGTTATCTGAAATCATAAACTATACAATTACCTAAAACCCAACCCCCCTCCCCAATCCCAACCCTAACAGATCTCTGACAACTAATCACCAATTTTGCCCCTCCCCCTTAATAAAAGGTATTTTTTAAGGTCACAAATTTTAAACTTAACTCAGAAGTGGTTGCCAGATGTTGAAATAAAAATAACTAATGAAAAATAATGATAATCTCCCTGAGCCCAAGTCAGGGAGATAATTGTGGGGCAGACACTGTCCTGGCCTGCAGGAGACCAAGGTTCAAGTTCCAGCACCATGTGGTCCCCTGACCACCACTGGGAGAGAATCCTGCGTACTGAGAACAGCACCCTGGGGTGTGGCCCCAAATCCACATCACTAAGTAGATCCAGCACCATAAGTAGCGAGGAGGCAGGGATATAGCTAAGGGGGTGCTGAGCCCTTGCAGGGATGGAGCACCCCGTGAAGTCTGTGATGGACAGGGAACATAGACTGTGAAATCCTGGGGTCAAAGGACTCCCTGGCCACATGCCCTCCCCCAGGGTGCCTTGTGTGAATCCCAGTGGCATTTATGTATTCAGGGGACCGGTACCTCAGTTTACTCCAGCCCAACACGGACTCCAGGAACCCACCTTCTCCACTGCTTCCCTCCCTAGACAACTGAGGCATCCCCAACCCCTGCAGGGTTTCAGGTAGCTGCCCCTAGCCTATATGCACGTGGCTAGGAACTGTGGCCTTGAACCTTGGGACCCCCTCCTGACCAGCCCACATGTGACAGCCATTTCCCAGGTTGGTGACCAGCGTCAGTGGCCCCAGCAGGCCACAAACCCCAGTGACCTCGCACGGGCATCAGGCCAAGGTCCTCACAGTCCACACATAGTCCCCTGGGAAAATGTGCAGAGCCAGAGAGATGCTGTGAAAAGAGGTGCTGGGGTCTTGGGATCAGGAGTGGTCCAACGTACATCTGCAACCAAGAGCCCCAGGGTGGGGTGACCTGGACAGGGGAATGGCTGCCCCTCCTACCCAAGTACTTTCGTTGGCAGGTACGGGGTGCCAGGCAGTGCAGGGGCTGAGCCCCCAGCAATGAAGAGGTCCATTTCTGCCCAAGGGCGAGGGCAGGGCTGAGCAGCCACCGGACGGCCTGCCTCAGGCAACACCTGTTAGAATAGTGCCCCACCCAGGCCTGCACATGACCATCTCCTGGAAACCCTCTGGACCCCACTACTCCCCAGGTGGAGGTGGGGGAACCGGGGTAGACCCACAGTGGGGGTGGGGCTTGGAGAGTTCAGCAGGACTCTGAGGTTGAGGGACGTAGGAGACAGGATGAGCCTGTTCACACAGCATCCTATGGTGAGGGAAAGTATAGCCAAGGGCCCAGTGATCCCCCAGACCCCCAGGCCCCTCTTTCACGTGCTACGTGAACAGGCATGAGAATGTTTCCCAGGCTCACCGACAACATGCCCTCGCGCACGGGGGATGGGAAGGGGGAATCAGGATCGGGGATTTCAGTGGAAAGGGACTTTGGGTCTCGCCTGAGCACTAAGTTACATAGGGACCAGGCCTAGCCGCTCAGAGCAGTCCAGTGGATGGGGCAATGCCTCCCCCTAGTGGCCAGACCTGTGTATGGCAATCAGTTTCCATCGCCCCCAGTGCCTTCACCCCTCAGGTGAGCTGCAGCAGGGGCACAGGGGCCCCATTGAGGAGCTTTGGTTTCAGGTGGGCAGGGGGTTATAGCTGGGACCCAGTGGCATGAAAGACAGGCACAACCGGACCTCCTCAGTGGCACCCCGGGACCACGCAGGACCTGCCTCTGGTGTGCAAAGACACGGGGTGTGGGGGAGGTCAGGAAGACGGATGGGCCTGCTCTCTGGTCAGGGTCTCCCCAAACGGGGCACCCCACCTTTGCACAGTAACAGCACTGTCAGAGTTCAGCTACGTGTAGGGCTCCCCTGGCCCCTGCAACTTTTTTGCTGTTGACATTTTGATTTGTTCCTGGTCCTCACTTTATAGTTCTCGGGCCTTGCTACCTCCAGTAAGTCTCCTTAAAGTCTCTTGTGGAAGAAAATAGCTTCCACAGAGTCCAACATGGCTTCACTTGAGGACTTATTTGGCACTCTTTTCTAATGTTACCATGGTGGGGCTCCCTCCTGGCTCCGTGCTCACTCTCGGTTGGACTCAGGAAGAGCATATGGGGTGCCAGGGACTGAGCCCTGGTCAGCTATGTGCAAGGCACGTACCCTACCCGCTGTACTATCTCCCCCTTAACTATTACCCTCTTTTATTTTTTTGCTTTTTGGGTCATACCTGGCAATGCTCAGGGGTTACGCCTGGCTCTGAACTCAGGAATCACTCCTGGTGGTGCTTGGGGGACCATATGGGATGCTGGGGATTGAACCTGGGTCAGCCACGTACAAGGCAAATGCCCTACCTGCTGGACCAGTACTCTGGCCGTTACCCTCTTTGTTGAGATCGAAACCTCTATCCAAAACACAACAGCTCTATTATACATGCATACTGTTAAATTACCTTGGAGACTAAAGGACTGTCCTGATTCAGGTTTTGGGGGTTTCCCTGGGAACCTGTCATTTACAAAGTTTCCCAGGTGCTTCCGAGGTGGCCTACCCCAGCTCCTGCAGAATCTCTGGTCCGGGAAAACTAGTCACAGGTCATGACAATGAATGTCAGACACCTTAAAAATGTAATTTTCTACATAAAAATAAATCTCAATTTTATTCAATGTGCTTCAAAAACAATGGATGTGATGAATCCAAATTTCCAAATGAGACCCACAGAAATTCAACGGGGCTACAGGACAGCGAGAACCACAGCGACGCCCTCTGCAGTCTGGCTGTTCCTAAAGTGGCCACAGGTGAGTGTACACGGACTGAAGGGGTTCCTGCATTCCTGGGAAAACCCACCCACCGCAGAGGTCCTCCATCCCAACCTCTGTTGTGGGGGAGGAGAGAGGGAGGCTGCAGAGCAGAGGCTACCTGCCGCAAGTCCACTAGAGGGCGCTCCTCTGGACGCTTCCTTCCAGACAGAAGGGGGTACAAACGGCACTGGGTTTGGGCCCAGGGGTTTCCCAGAGCTCTGGGGGTGGATGTGGAGGCAGTCTCTGGCACACACATGGCCTGTGACCACATATTTTCATAAACCCGTGGCTTATGGTACCATGACTGCCAGGCCCAAGCCCCTGAGGACTTGTCATTTGCATCAAAGACTAAAGGGGAATTCGAAGGAGTCTTTCCCTGGCCCCCTGGGTCACTGCTCACTAGAAAGGCCAGCTGGGAGATGCGCATGCATAGTCCAACAGCTGACACACTTCTCTCTCTCTCTCTCTCTCTCACACACACACACAAACAGCCGACACATCTCACACACAAACAGCCGACACATCTCTCTCTCTCTCTCTCTCTCAACACACACACACACACACACACACACACACACACACACACACACACACACACACACACACACACACAGGCCCCAAGCCTCAGCTCCCAGGGCAGCCAAACCTGCAGTTAAAAGCCCCACTTTATCAACTGCTGAGTGAACAGAGAGGACACAGGCAGGGGGAATGCTCGAAGCTGCTTTCCAAACTCACATCTGGGCCAGGGAAGCCTGTCTGTGGGCTCTCACCCACACTCAGCCTCACTCCCTTTAGGTTTCCCTCTTCCTAGAAAACTTGGGGCCCCTGGTGTGTCCAGAGGGGTAAGAGCCACAGAGCGGAGATCCTATCCAGAAAAGTATACTCATTCCACAGAAAACGCAGATGGAGACATTCACTGCAAGCCTAGGTGGGGAAGGACGTGGGGACAGACAGAGAGAGGGAGGAGGGCGGACAGGAGAGAGCACAAAGGTGCGGGAGCAGCGAGGGGGCTTCCATATCCTCCTGGGAGACTCGGGATGGCTCTCTGCTGGGCCAGGAGGCTCCCAAGCCAAGGACTGGTGGGGCCTATGGGAAAGCAAACACGCCAACCAGGCGGGGCACTCAGCCACCAAACCAACTAACACGAGCCTCGGCCAGTCAAACCCAGGGCTGGTCAGAGAAGGAGAGTGGCCCCATCTCCAGTTCTCCACACCAGGCCCACCCCAGGCTGGCAGCTCTGAGTTCAAGGCAGGAAAGAGGCAAGTCGGAGGCTACCCTTGGGGTGTGATGCAACAGACTTGTCGCCAACCTTTGCTCCAAGGCCCACCGGGACCTGGGTCGGGACTGGGGGCCGGGCCAGGGAATGTGGAAAACCAACCAGGCCACCTGTTACTGGGAGGTGTGTGTGGGGGGGGGAAGGGGAATGTGCCACGATCGTGCTTACACTCCGGGGAAGAACACTCGCTTCTCTTCAGAAGGGAGCAACGTCCACGAAAATGCAATGTGGGAAGTCTTCCTTCTTGGTCAGCAACAGTGGCAATGCCTGCTTGCTTCCAGGCAGCTGCTTCCATGGAAGAGGGAGGCACTTCCGCCTGCTGCACGGCCACGGGGATTCTGCAGGGGGGGTGGCGAGTAGCCAGGAGCGGGCTTCCCCTCCAAGATGGGAGAGAACAGAGATGGAAACTTCCCCCCGAGGTTACAGATCACAATTACTTCCGAGTGGCCTCCGGTTTGGGACAGTCACACAGTTCGGAAGGCGGCTTCAGGCGCCCCCCTCCCCTCACACACAGACCTGTACCCCACCCCGCACCCCGGGGAAGGTGGCCCGCACAGGCCAGGCGGGCTCAGGTCAGGTAGTGCACCACGAGGAACATGATGAGGCAGGTGAGCAGCATGCCCCCGATCATGAAGTACTTGTCCTGGTAGGCCCGCTTCTCAATGAGCCGCATCACCGTGTTGGACAGGCCCAGCATGTTGGCGATGTCCAGGAGCTTCTTCTGCGTCCCCTGGGGCAGACAGAGAGGAAGGAAAATGGAGATCAGCTGGGGTGGGGGGCAGGATGTGATGTCATCATGGCACAGGGCTGTACCCACGCAGCCTCTAGGTCTTGCCCCAAGCCTGGTAGAGCAGCGTGAGCCAGAATCATCCCGTGGCTTCGGCGCAAGGTACCGGAGCAAAGCATGGGGGAATGGAAAACTCTCCTGCCAGGTGGCGGGCCAACACAGGCAGGTGTCCCCATGCGCACAAGGGTGTGGCCAAGCGCAGCTGGTTTTCTAGCAGCCTGGAAGACTCCATTTGGGACGAGTTATGGAATTAAACACAGAAGCGAGGACCCTGGAGATGTCCTGACGCTGGAGCCAGCGGCACACAGGAGCCCGGGAGGGCACGGCAGGAGGGATATGGCACAGATGGCAGCCTGCAAGCTCCCGCGAGGGTCACCAGTGGGCAGACACCTTTGGGGGAAGCGGATCAGACAGGAACAGCAAACTTCACCCCTGCTGCCACTCTTTCCCCCAGCAGAGGGACACTAGATCCCGGCAGGAGTTCTGTTTGGTGGGACGGCACAGATGATGTGGTCACTGTATGAAATTCAGGGCCAGAGCCATAGCACAGGGGGCCTGGCTGGCACGCAGCCAGCCGGGGTTCCTTCTCTGGCATCCCATGTGGTTCCCAGGGCCCCGCCAGAAGTCCCTGAGCACTGCCGGCCGTGGCCCAGAAACAAAAACCCAACAAACTGAAAAAGAAATGTAGGCCTCTACTATCACTGAAGTGACAGGAGAGCGAGATGGGGGCGTGCCCTGCACACAGCAGACCTGGTAGCTCATAAGATCCCCAGAGCCCAGCCAGGAGGAAGCTCTGAGAACCGCCCGGCGTCGCGGCGTCGCATTCCACAGACGAACAAAAAGCTGCTAACATCACCTGGAAGCCACTGGACATTTCCAAAGGGTCCTAATCATTACAGGCCCCCAGATCATTCACATGGTTAAAGCAGACACTTCCCCCACAGGGGTGGATGGAGGCAATCACCGAGCAGAGAGATAGTGGCAGGTGTGCAGAGAAATGGAACTGGAACATTGAACCCGAAAACCCCACCCTCTGGGCCCTCCTGGGCAGTCAGCAGAGGAGAATGCACCCTCGGGGGCCCAGGCTCCATGCCTGTCATCGGCAGGGTGAGTCTGGTCCTAACGGGGCTCTGCTGGTTCTCTGGGCTCCAGGGCGTCAGCACAGGGAAGGGGGACCATAGGGGAGCATGGCCTTGCCCCATGGAAGGAGGCGGGAATGTGCCAAAGTCCAGCCAAGCTGGCAGGTCTGGTAGGTTAAATAAAGACGCAGATAAAAACTGCTTCCGAGGGCCTGTTTCTCACTGATGGGCAGCCAGGAGCCCGGGGTTCACAGGGAGCCACACCCTGATAATGGGCAGCGCACACACCCACTGCCCATCCGGGCTGAGCCAGGAAAAGGGCTGAGGCTGACCATCACAGCTGACATCAGAGTCTGGGCAATGTTTCTGGCAACACCACTCCCGGGGCCCAGCCAATGGGGTTGGGCTGCTCGGAGGACCCCAGACTGCAAAGCGCAATGGAGGGGCTTGAGAGGCCACGACAGCCAGGCACAGGGGGGCAGCCTCAGAAAGGGATGCCCTGGCAGGCAGCTCAGGGTGGGGGCCCTACAGGAAGCACCTTGGGGGTGCCAACGTCCACCCCTTCTCCTGAGAGCGGACGCAACAACAGAATTTCCCTGACAAGTTCAGTGAGTGGCAGCGAGCGATGCTACCCAAGGCCCCAAGCAAACCCGGGAAACCCCCCGGGCGGCGGGAGCGGGTCGGCCGATGTGCATCACCGGGCGCCACAGGGAGGGGGCCGAGCCTGGGGGGGGGGGGGCCGCTGTGTCACCACACAGTCTCAATGGGCCTTCACTGCTGCAGAGGGGCCCCCACCTTCAAGGTCAGCCTCTGGGCCCTCAGTCCCTCCAGAATACTGTGGCCGCCTCCAATGAGGTCATCCATGCCGTGGTGGATTTTCTGGAGGGAGGAGTTAAACTGCAGAGACTCGTCCATGGGGATGGTGGTGTCCGAGTCCTGTGGGAGAAAGCAGGCACCTGATTAACGTTGCGGGCTGGCGCCCCGCAGCCTCCAGCTGCCCGGTCTCCGGGCTCAGCCGCACCGGAGGAGCCTGGGACAATGGAACAAGAATCGGAGGACCCCAGCAGCCAAGAACGAGCCAAGCAGGGATCTGGTCCCCAAAGGGGCAGAAGGGGCTCCCCTCAGTCAGGGCTGCGACACTCCAAAGCACTTCCCTTCATCACTTGCTAGGTGAGGAACGTCCTCTCCAAACGTCCCATCTGTGGCCTCCCCCTCGCGTGGTTCTTAATTCAGCCACTATCTGGACTGCTCGCTGGCTGCAGAGAGGACAGACTGCTGTCCACGGAAGGCCTGCAGGTGCTGGGGATGGGGCGGGGTCAGGGCCCCCCATCTCCTGGGAAGCTAAGTCAAGTCTCTGAAGGAACAAGTGGAAGACAGGAATTCTGATGGATGGCAGGACAGGGGTTAGGACGCTTGCCTAGTAGTGGCTGACTTTAATGTGGTACCCAGCACCTCAACCTCACTTGATCCTCAACCCAACCTTGAGAAGTAGCTACTCTGTGAACCCCAGTTGGAAATGCAGAAACCCAAGCCCAGAGAGGAGGAAAATGACTTGTCCAGCACAGAGTGGGCAGGAAGTGTGAGGGACAGGGTTTCCCCTGTACTCGCCCGGCAGTAGAAACGCCCCCTGCCCCCAGTGTGGCTTCACAGGGAGAGAGGACAAGCCACAGGAGCAAGTCCTGAGTGACCGCTGTGCTAGTCCCTCTCCTGCCTCCGCACAATCTGACCCTCCTGCTACGTGGGGCCCTTGGACCACCTCAGTCACCACCAACAGGTTAAGGCACCTTTCCTTCCCTGCTCAAGTTGAGAATCATTTTTCTTTTCATTTTCTTTTATTTTTGGGGGGTTTTAGGCTACACCTGACGATGCTCAGCACTTACTCCGGGTTCTGCACTCAGGAATCATTCCTGGTGGGGCTCAGGAGTTCCATATGGGATGTCAGGGACCGAACCCGGGTTGACTGCACGCAAGACAAGCGCCCTCCCCGCTGTACTATCAGTCTGATCCCAAGAATCATTTTTCATGCATGCTCACAATCCCAACTCACAGAAACTGTACTTTGTACACAAGCTGGATTCCAGTGTTTATTTACTTATTTGGGCCATGCCCAGCAGGGTAGGGCTCAAACCCAGGGCTTTCTACCACCCCCATCACAGCCCCAGCCCCTGCTCTGAGTGTCTTAAGGGGTTCTGCATACATTTGATGCTTGGCGGGTCCAGCACTCCAGGGTCTGAACCATGAATCGATGAAGAGACATCTGTTCCTTTATTGAGGCTAGCAACCCAGGCATTTATTGATTGCACTTTACACGCGGCCGACCCGGGTTCAATTCCTCCGTCCCTCTTGGAGAGCCTGGAAAGCTACAGAGTATCCTGCCTGCATGGCAGCGCCTGGCCAGCTCCCCGTGGTATATTCAATATGCCAACAAGTCTCACAATGGAGACATTACTTGTGCCTGCACGAGCAAATCAACGAACAACAGACGAACAACGGGACGACAGTGCGATAGTGCTTCTTTTCATGCAGGTCTTTCTTACCCTCCCACCTGGGAAGGGGCTGACCAGTGGTCATTAGCTCTTGGAGAAATGAAATGTCCTACAGTTACCGAGCACAGAATGGCGATCTCTGGCCATGGGGCAAAGTGCTGTCAGCAGTGGTCCTGAGGCGATCTGAGCCAGCCTCCCGCAAAAGAAAAGGAAATAAACTCTAGATGACGATAACAGATAAGAAGATAAACTTAAAGCTACCTCAGGCCTGCTGTGGAAGGAAAGCGTCACCAGAGAGCACGAACATTCACCAATACTTATTTTGCATGTTGCATGTGCTCTATACTGAATTCTTACAATAAAGGAAATGCTGTTAAGAAAACCAAGAGTGAGCTGGGGAGATTGTTGCTGGGCATCAGCAGGTATGGCCCAAAGCCAGAAGGAAGAGAAAAAAGGAAATACAGAAACACATGCTTTTTTTTGTTGGTGGTGGTTTTTTAAATTTGTTTTTGCTTTTTGGGTCTACCTCCTGACTCTGCACTCAGGAATTAGTTCTGGTGGTGCTTGGAGGAGCTTATGGGACGCCAGGGATCAAACCCAGGTCAGCCATGTGCAAGAAAAACACCCTACCTGCTGTACTATGGCTCCGGCCCCCACATGCATGCTTGCACGTTTAAAAAAAAAAAAAAGTCCTGACACTAAACCGAGAACTGGGCTGAGAGCTCAAAGGGTCGGGGTGCTCACTTTGCATGCCGGAGCCCCAGTCTAACCCCTGCACTATCTGGTTCCTTAAGCACCCAGCTAGAGAGGCCCAAGCACTGCTGGCTATGGCCACAAACATACACATACACAAATCACAGAAACAAAATAACCAAACCCCAGATCCACCTACTTGGTGGCATACATAGCACTTGGAAATAGCCAGTACGTATTTTTTTTTTTTTTTGGCTTTCTGGGGGTCACACCAGGCAATGCACAGGGGTTACTCCAGGCTCTGCACTCAGGAATTACTTCTGGCAGTGCTTGGGCAACCATATGGGATGCTGGGAATCGAACATGGGTCGGCCGCATGCAAGGCAAATGCCCTCCCTGCTGTGCTATTGCTCCAGCCCTAGGTCAGTATGCTTTCTAGGGAGATGTAAGGAATCACCCTGCTGGGAGTAAAGGCAGGAAGGTTCTGGAAGCAAGCAAACACGCAAACCAATGGGCCACTTGCACACAGTGCCCTGTCACGCAATCTAGCTACAGCAAAGCTCCTGGAACAAATCCCGCCAAACTGCTGCTCAGATGCGGGGCAAAAGCCATTCACGCATGCAGATGCTAGAACCCCGCATGGGCTCAGCTGCCCTCACTTAAAAACAGCCCACGTTCTAATCGCTGCCTCTGCTGGGAGCAACCTGCCCCCTTCCTGCAGGCAGCAGCCCGGGTGGCCCCAGCCACCTCCCCATTCATCTAACTGCTTCCTCCTCAGGCCACTGGGCTATGGACAGAGAACCCCCTGCGTGCCAAGGACGAGGCCACTTACGTTGGTGGTGAAGGTACGCGACAGAAGCTCCTCTCGCTGCCTCTCCTGCAGCTCCCGAGTGTAGCGCCGATGCTGGAAGTTTCTCAGCGCGGTCTGCAGGTGCTGGGTGTCGTACTTTAGCTGGTCCACGCGGCTGAATCAGGGAGAGGGGGAGATTCAGTTCCGGGGGCTTCCTGCTCCCCAGACCCAGAGCTCGCTCCCTCCCGCAGCCAGCCGGGCCCCAGCGAGGCGGCCCCGACGACAGGGATGGCTGCTGCTCTGATCCCAGATGCATGACAGGGAACAGGTGACAGGAAGCAGGGTCAGTGACCTCTTCCTGACCTCTGGTGGATTAGCCTGAGCTCCTGGAGGAAGCCGCGGGGCATCTTTGGAGCGAAGGATCCAAACGGTTCAGAACATTTTCTGTGGAGTGGGGACTGGGGTGGTGCCGAGGTGTCATTTTAATTTCATGGAGGGGAAGGGAGGGGAAGCACTGGGTCTGTGTTCCAATAAAAATACACAAATTAAAGGAATAAAGAGCAAGACTTCATGTCAACCCATGCCCGGGGCCGAGTTAAACTCTCTCCCAGCATTGGGTTTACGGCGGCACTGGAGCTGTACAGGGGGCGAGATCTGGAGGGGACACACTGGTGAGGTCAGAGGTCATAGCACTTGAAGCCTCCGACCCCGTGAACCCCACTGTCTCTCTGCAGGGTCTTTGTGCAGCTTTTCAGAGCACACCCCGGCCAGCCTTGTGAGAAGAGCCTACTTGGCAGGTCAGGGACTTGAGCACTTACAGTTTGGCTTTCTGTCTTTTGTTCGGAGGTTCCTTGCTGGAAAAAATCTCCAGACGCTCGAGATGATCGAATATCTGGTCTATATTTGCCTGGATTTCATTTTCCACAACTGCACAAAAGAGAAAAAAGAGAGAAAGAAATCGCTGGAAAAGACACAACAAACTTAATTCAGAATGATGAATCAAATGTATCTTTTTTCCCCGCCATTTTTTTTTTTGTTTTTTTCTGCTTTTTGGGGTCACACCCGGCGATGCACAGGGGTTTCTCCTGGCTCATGCACTCAGGAATTACTCTTGGCGGTGTTCAGGGGACTATATGGGATGCTGGGAATCGAACCCGGGTCGGCTGCGTGCAAGGCAAACGCCTTACCCGCTGTGCTATCACTTCAGCCCCTCCCTGCCATTTTTAAGAAATCCAAAAACATTTATTTCAAAAGGAGAAAAATACACAAACTAAAGAACAGTGGGGGCGGAAAATTCATGCAAAACCCCCCAAGGGATGCTGTAAATCATGTTTCAAATATATTCTTGTATCTAGCTGGTAATGCAAAAAACACGGAGTGGGTCTCTGAAGCAGCGCTCCAAGGCCTGGGGGGGGGGGGGAGGGCCGGCAGGACAGAGGTTCAAGCAACATGAAAGACCTGAGAAGGGGGGTTGTGGGAACTGTTGCGATTTCAATGCCCTACTGTGCCAGGGATTACCCAACTCCACAGGCAGGGCTACACCCACCCATGGGAAGGGACCAGGTGCTGCCAGGAATCAAATCTAGGTCAGTCACATGCAAGGCAGTGCCTTAACCCCTGTACTGCCTGGCCTGAATATCAATTTTTTAAGAATCTGAAGGAGAACCAGGAGACAGCTCAAAGCTAGAGTGTGTGCACTTGATTAGGGTCTGACACGATCACTGTGAGGCCCAAGCGTCAGGCCCACACATCCAGGTCAGGTACCACTGGGAGTGGTCTGAGAACTGCTTGGGGAGCCCCCTCAGGAGTATTAAAAGTAGGGAGCTTTACAGAAGAGACTGTACTGCCTTGCACACGGCCGACCCAGGTTCTACCCTCAGCATCCCATATGGTCCCCCGAGCCCCATCAGGAGTGAGCCCTGCGCCCTGCGCATTGCCAGCTGTAGCCCCCAAACCAAAACCAGAAGAATAATAAGATATTAAAAGCGGAAGGTAAATCTATAAAACTTTTCTGCCTTTGAAGAGTAAGATTGCCCACAAAATTGATTTTTGTGTTGGGGTCACACCCAGCAGTCCTGAGATGCTAAATCCTGGTGGTGCCGGGAGACCATACCATGCCAGAGTCAGTCCTGGGCCTCCCGCACGCGAAGTCCACACTTGTGTCATGGAACTATTAATCTGCCCCCTGACCCCAAATACAGTATCCCTGGATATAAAATCTCTGTTTTTTTTTTCTTTTTGGGTCATACCCGGCGATGCACAGGTGTTACTCCTGGCTCAGGAATTAATTACTCCTGGTGGTGCTCAGGGGACCATATGGCATACTAGGAATCGAACCCAGGTCTGCTGCATGCAAGGCAAACATCCTACCCGCTGCAGTATCGCTCCAGTCCCCAATACAGAATCTCTTTAAGATTCACCTCATGACGTAAATATGTAAATAATGTAAATTTCAATAATGTAAATAATACTGATGATAATGATGATGAAGACGAAGAGTTCCTGCAGGGCTTCCCGAGGGACCAGGTAGGGGGGCTTGTGCCAGAGTCCCCAAAACAGAACAAGTATCACTAGAATAAGGGCCAGGAAAGAGGTCAAGGAGAGAGAGAGTGACGGTGACCACAGCTAATTTCCATACCCCTTTGGCTAAACCCCCGCTACTAATCAGTGAACGTGAAGACTGCTGGGAAAGCAAGCAGGTGGCGCAGGAGGCCTCCAGCAACAGTTTCCAGGAGAGCGAGTCCGAGCACAGAGCCAAGGAGAGGGGTGCAGGCAGGAGAAAGGGGTCCGGCCAGGGTGAGTAGAAGAGAGAGTCCAAGTTTTCCTGGTTTGGGGAGGGCTACATCCAGAGGTGTCCAGGGGCTACGCCCAGCTGGCGCCTGATGGAGCCGGGGCGGAGAACCATGCCCCCACTCCCACACAAATCTGAGTTTTACACCGAGTCCGTTCCTCTAGGGCCTAATTAGACAGAGGAAAGAGTGTGCTGCCACACCAGGCCAAGTGGAGGGGTAAAGGCAGGGGGACGCGGGGATTCCCACAATCAGGGAAATCAAGGACTTTGCTGTGCAGGGGTGGGGGCCGGGGGGTGTTTTCTGCCCACTCTAACAACATCATTCCCGAAGGCAGAGACGCAGGCCGGAAGCCCAGTCCCTCGGCGCCCGTCAGGGCCCGTGTCCACAGCCAATCACTCACGGTGCACAGACTGCTTGTCGGCCGTTTCCAGGCGCCCCATGCTGGACTGGATCTCGAGGATCTGCCTGGCAAAGGGAGAGGGAGATGAATGTGGCAGGAAGAGTCGAGCACTCCGAGAGACCCTTCTTCCCAATGGCCAGGCTTGTTCCTACAGAACTAAACGGTACCTCAGGCCTACAACTCACAGGGCTCCAGAGGTGCTGATCCCCCCCCCCGCCCCCCGTGAATGATACCAAGGGGGTGCCTGCGGCGTGCCTGCCACCTCTGAGACAAGCTCGGCAAGGTCGGTACCCCGGTGAGAATAGTGGTGGCCGTCTTTGCCCAGGGCGGCATGGCGAGCCCCAGCCCAACCCATGTGCCGGGATGTTCTTTGACCCCGTGTGCGGAGCACCGTGGCAGTCCACGGAGAGTCGGAGAGTCAAAGGGCGGGAGAAACAGCACACAATCAGGGATGTCACTGGGGACAACGGGAATCCCAACGCTGATGTCAGCAAACAGGAAGCACAGGCCGGGCAATGAAAGGGCTGGGCGCAGCCGAGGGAGCAAGTCCAGTGGGTAAAGGAAAAGGTGAAGGAAATGATATTCACAGCGGCTGTGCGGTGCCGACGTGCCCGTGGATCAGCCGACAGATAGGCACGGGGAGAGGGAGGCTGGGTAATTAGAGGGGACCCGGAAGATAAGCATCTTGTTTGGTAAACACTGACTTCTAGCAATCAGGGTAAGAGCCCAAGGCCACACAGCCCCTGACCTCTGGCACGGTGTCAGGCAACAGGTCCTGTGCACTCTCAGGAGTCTCCCCAGGGCTCGGCACCCACAGGCGCCTTCCCAGCAGCATCCCCCGCCAACAGCTCCCCACCCACCATCCTTCTCCTGCAGCTTCAGGTTCCCTCTACAGCTGAGCCACAGGGAAGAAGCTGCTGGTTCTTAGAGAGAAGCTCGGGCGCCACACGCCAGGCACATCCCATACCCCCCACTGTGCGCACCCCACACCGTGACCCACCATGGACATCCCACACCCCCACTGGGAGTATTCCATACCCCCCACTGTGCGCACCCCACAGCGTGACCCACTATGAACATCCCACACCCCCCTCCACTGTGTGCACCCCACCCCCAACTGTGTGCATCCCACAACCCCCACTGTGCGCCTCTCACATCCCCACTGTGAGCATCTTACACCCCGCTGCACGCATTCCATGCTCCCTCTGTGAGCATCTCATTCCCCACTGACCCACTGTGCACACCCCACGCCCCCAACCATGCACATCCCACTGTGCATACCCCCCTGCCGTGACACCATGCACATCCCACACAGTGACCCCTGCCCCGGGAGAGGGAAGGAGTTCAGAATCAAACCACCACCCGAGGGTGTTCTCCAGTGCCGGCAGCAGCCCCAGGTTACTTTCAGTCCACCTCTGAGCTCTTTCAAGGCTTGGCTATGGCCTCTGAACAGCGCCCACAGCCCACGAGGCCAGAAGCAAAGGCAGAGCCCCCATTCTCCAGGGGCCCTGAGAGGCGTCTTCTAGAAAATGGGAAGGGAGAGGGGTAGAAGGGAGAGAAGGAGGAGACCGAGGGGGACACAAACCAGGCCACAAGGACGGTCCTGAGGTTTCTTTCTAAAGAAAGGATCTCCCTGACCTGAGGAGGGGGGAAGCTGGCTTAATCCCGAAACTCTCCAAGGCTGGGGGACGCCAATATCCACACAGCCCTCTCAGCTTCCCAGCTGGCTCCCATTATTTTCTAAGCTACAAAGGATCAATTTTAAGACGCTCCAGGGGAACTTCAGGTAAACATTACTGATTCTTCCCAAACACTCTCTTGTTTGCTCCGAATGAACTAGAAAAGGTATAATCAAAAAAAGTGATTCCAATCTCTTCATTTCATGCCTGAGAGGAAATAAATGCAAAACAACAAAGCAAGAATGAAAGGCACGGTGGGAACTTCTACATGCCAAGTGGAAAAAATCTGTTTTAAACTGAACCGGGAATTCAGACAGCACACTGAAGCCAATACGGAACAGGTGAACTGGCGAGGCTGGGCGGGCGTGGACGCGCTTGGTCCGTGGGGTCCGGCGGGGGCTCAGAAGCTAGCCAGAGACCCAGCTGCAGCTAAGCAAGATCCCCGATGCTATTTTACTTCAAAAGATCAAGAGGGCCTGAAGCAAGGGGAGGGTGCTTGCTTGAATGCAGCTGACCCAGGTTCAAACCCCGGCATCCCATATGGTCCCCCAGGCACCCCCAAGAGTGATTCCTGAGGGCAGAGTCAGGAGTAACCCCTGAGATCACTGAGTGTGGCCCCAAAACCAAAATAATTTAAAAAATAAACGATCAAGAGATCTAGGAGGAATTTTACCCATCTGATTACTTATTGGGGGGTGGGGGGGAGGAGACACAGCTCTCCATGCCCAGGAGTGACCACTAGTGGTGCCCAGGGAACCATACTGGTGTGGGGGATTCAGACCAGGGTCCTCGGGAGAGCACCTTAACCTGAGTGCTCGTTCTTGAGCCCTAAAAGGAATTATATAGAACTGAACTGATTTTTGTTGTTGTTGTATTTGCTTTTTGGGCCACCCAGTGATGCTCAGGAGTTACTCCTGGCTCTACACTCAGAAATTATTCCTGGCAGTGCTTGGGGGACCATATAGGATGCCGGGGGTTGAACCCAGGTCGGCCACTTACAAGGCAAATGCCCTACCCACTGTACTATAGCTTTGGCCCTGAACTGTTTTTTTTTAAGCCCCCAAAATAAAGAAATAAAACCTAAGCAGTGCTGCTCCCCAGCATCTACACCCACTCCATATGTCACCAGGAAGCAGGGTTCTGGGGTTAAAGGATCTAGGCTGAGAGGCCAGGGACATGGCTCAGGTGGGAAAGTACATACCTTTTGTGTGTGAGAGCTGAGTGTAATCGGCAAGAAAAGAAATGAAATGAAATGGGGAAGGAGGAGGGGAGAGGAGAGAAGAGAGAAAGGAGGTAGGAAAGGGGAAGGAGAGGAAGAGAGGAGGGGGAGTGCAGAGGAGAGTGTAAGTTGAGGGGCTGGGATAGTGCCCAGCAGCACTGCACTTGCCCTGCGTGTGTGAGACCCTCGATCCTCCACACCACCTTCCCACCACCCAGAAGCGGGAAGTGAGCTGAATTTCTAGTTCCACTGTACTGAGACACTGAACAAGTCCCTCAACTTTTGGGTGCCTTAGTTCCTGTAAAAGACTTTATGTAAAACAGAGATACTAACAACCAAAATTAACAAACACTCCCTAACCAAAGAAGCAGAAATTCCTGGGTTCTATACCAGCTGAATCGAAATCTCTGGGGACAAGAAGATTCAGGGCTCTGGATCAATGCTGGGTCACAAAGGGAACAAATGTGGCTGTCTTTATAACCACTGGGAATCCCAGCCCCCAATAAAAGCTATTTTCTGTGTATTCTCTCCCATAAAGTTCATTCTAGGGGCTGGAGAGAGCACAGCAGGTAGGGCGTTTGCCTTGCACGCAGCCAACCCGTGTTCAATTCCCAGCATCCATATGGTCCCCTGAGCATCACCAGGAGTAATTCCTGAGTGCATGAGCCAGGGGTAACCCCTGTGCATTGCTGGGTGTGACCCAAAAAGGGGGGGGGGAGTTCATTCTAGTGTCCTGTGAGTTAAAAGATCTCATTCATTCTTTTTTTTTTTTAAGTTAGTGTTTAGACTATTCAGGAGCTCTCATTTTAAAGAGTTGATCTAGGCCTGGAGCAATAGTACAACGGGTAGGGTGTTTGCCTGACATGCGGCCGACCTGGGTTCCATCCCGGCACCCCATATGGCCCCCACCACCTCCAGGAATAATTCCTGAGTGCAGAGCCAGGAGTAACCCATGGGCATTGCCTGGTGTGACGCAAAAAGCCAATAAACAAATAAATAATTGATCTAAATAAAAACATTAATAAAAAAATTAAAAGATGATCTGATTCCAATGCACTTTCAGAGACATGCCAAAAGATAACCACATGCTGGGTTCCAAGTCCCAGTAGAATCCATACTTGACTGCTACATCCATTCAGCTACAATCCCTGTGATTTCCACGACTGCACGTGTTCCGTGTTGATGCTCCCTGGACTCCACCTTTTCAACACTGGCCCCTGGCGCCAAGGAGCTTGACAAGCAGCAGGCAGAGAAAGGTAGGCCCAGGACTCCCACTCCCTGCCCGCCCCCTGCAGTGTGGGAGGGGACCCTGCGTCCCAGCAGCTGCTTGTGGGCAGGGCTATCTGGTCCCAGGACAGTGTGGGGCAGAGGTCAGCAGGGCAGACCTGCGAGCAGTTTGCTCTCTGCAACACCCATTCATTTCTATCAAGGGTCTCCAGCCGGGCAGAGGAAACTAGTTCATCCACATGCCACAAATCTGTTTGGGACCCCAGGGATTCAGCAGCCCTCCAGGTCTGAGCTCACAGAAAACTGTCCCAGACCTGTGAGCCTTCAGAGGTACCAAGACTCTGGGAATAATTGGGACTGTACAGGCAAACCCTCCTCCCCCTGGGCTACTGTGCAGGGTCCGCCCCTAACAGCTGCTCCCTTCAGCAGGTCCGATTGTGGGTGAGCCTGAGGGTTACTCCACTCCGTGCTCAGGAGTCACTCCTGGCTCAGCACTTTCTGTTCCATTCTTTTTCCAACTGACTTCAAGTTTAATTTATAAGTTCCTGCCTAGAATTTTTGTGTAGAGGAGAGAGGCCTTGTGTCAGGGCAACCTGCCATTTTATATATTAAAAACAAACAAACAAACAAAAACACCCTTTTATTACAGTACCAGAATTTAGAATACTGTTAACCACGCTTTTCATGCACACATCATTCCAACGCCACACCCATCACAAGAACCCATGGTCCTTCACCAGTGTCCCAAGGACCCCTCCCAACTCCTACCCCATCCTCTCATTGTAATCCCACTGCAACGTTGGCTCTGTATTTTCACCCAAAGCAAACACCTCATCATAAAATAAAGAAGAAACCCTAAACCCCAAGATGAAAGAGCTAAAGCACCCCCTTCTATGCTTCAAGCTCCAAAGTATTGTTGAGAATTCATGGGGGCAGGGGGATTCCCTCTGACTTCATTACCAGGGCCTGAGAATGTGATTTGAACCGTTTCTAACAGAATAAACCTGCAACATCAGACTGAAAGTTGAGGGAAGGTTTTGGTGTATACTCAAAAAACCAAACCCGGGAATCAAACATATCTGCACCATTGTTCACAGCAGCAAGTCATGCTCTCCAAGACTGGGAAACACCAGGTGTCCACACACATGTGAAGGGATAACAAGATGTGGTGCCCGTGTGCTCCACAAGGACACCAAAAACGCACTGAATAGTCAGACAAAAAAAGGACAAGCACTGTATCACCCACTAGTGCTGGATCTATAACAGGCAAATCCAGAGACAGAAAGAGAACAGACAGTCTCAGGGCTTGGGAGGGAGGGCGGGGCGTGGGGGGTAGGTGTAAATGCTGCTTAATGGCCACTTGAGTTTCTGCTTGAAGTAATGGGAAGGTTCTGGAAGTGGACAGTGGTGCTGGTTACACACACTGGAAATACACACCACTTCTGAGAATGATACTCTTAGGAGCGATTAGGTGTTTAAATGACAGATCAAATCATGGCAATGACTTAAAAATAACTTTCACTATGTTATTATGTTTCGGGGCCACACCACACTGTGCTTAGGGGGTTATTCCTGGCTACATCACCAGAGACCATATAAAGGTGTCAGGGACTTGAACCAGGGGCCACTGTATGCAAGCTCCACTATATGCAAGGTGGACGAACCTCTGTACCAACGCTCCGGCCCTAAAGAGCTAACTTTTATATCTTATGCATATTTTACCCCCCAAGCCTCGGCTCAACTGGTAGAACCCGTGTCTAGCACGTGCAAGGCAACTTTGGGGTCGGATCCCAGAACGCATGCACGCCCCCAATTCCTCCAGCATCGCCCATTCTGAGCACGGATCTGGAACCACAGTGTGTGTGTATGGGGACGGGGGTCACCTGGATGTGACCATGTCCCTCCTTTACCAGATAGAATGGTGGTGGCTTCTATTACCACACTCAACCACCTATCTCGGCAAGCTGCAAAAACGCAGACCCCTCTGGGGGCCGGGGTGCAAGCGCCTGTCCCCAACTCGACTCCAGCCAGTCCAGGCTGACCCGCCGCCCGACAGCAAAGGCCCCCCGCTGGGTCCCCGTGCGGCCCGCGGGAGCTTGGAGAATGGGTGGGAGCACCAGCCGGGGTTCAGAAGCAGCAGCTACCGGCTCGGCGGGGGCGGTGGGCTCTGCCCCAGGAAGGGGCGGCCCGCGGCGAGGGGGACCCGACCCTGGACGCACCCCCTGGCCCTCCGACGACGCCTGTCTCTGCCACCAAACAATGCACGAGGAGCGGGGGCCGTGGCTCTCCCCTGCCGGGAACGTCGCCGGCGGGTACTGGACTAAGTGCCATGACCGACAGGTGCGATTCTCGCATTCACTGGCTCTGCCCAGCGGGCAGTGACGGCCCCGAAAGTCCAGCGTCCCCGCGAACCACTAGGCCGGACCCTCAGACGGCCGCGGACCCGGGTCTTTGAGCCATTCCCAGATGCCCCCTAGCAGCGCCGCGGTTGGCCGGCGTTCCGGGGGGCCAGTTGAGCCCGGCCCCGGCCCCGGCCTGGCCTCGCCCCCGCCCGTGCTCTGAGCCGGCCCTCACTTGAGCGTCTGCTGGTACAGCGGCTCCATATCGCCGGCCGAACCGCGTCCGGCTCGGGACTCCGCCGCCGCCGACCACGTCCTCACCGCCAGCTTCCGGCTTCCGGCGCCTGACTTCCTGTTTCCGGCGCCCAGCTTCCGGTTTCCGGCGCCCGAGGCCCGCGGCCGTGGCTGCCCGCGCGCGCGCCTTACCCGGTGCGGGTCTCGTCGCGCGCGGAGGGGAGGGGGCGGCCGGGCCCGCGTGCTCGGGGCCGGGTCCCCAGGTGGCGGGCTGACTGGCGGGTGCGGTGCTGGCCGGGCGCGGTCTTCCGCAGTCGGGCAGGCACGGGGACGGGCAGGCGCGGGGGCGAGGGACTCGAGGTCCTCGGAGCCGGGCTGCGCGGACGCACCTGCGCGGGTACCCCCTGCGCGGCTCTGCAGGCCCGCGCACTGCTGCTGCCTCGTAGCTGACCCTGGGGCTGTCGAAGCCGCATTCCCGCTTACGCTGAGGCCAGCTCCCCACTTGTTTGTCCAGCGAACCCCCCACTGATTGAGTGATCACTTTGGTGCCCAGGGAGGTTGGGGCTGGGGGAACGCGACTTCTTCCTTCTCCCCAGGAGACCCTTGGTCTAGGAAAAAGAAACAAGACGTGTGCACGGATATTTACAAGACGGAAAGTGCAGAGAGATTGAATTGAGCTGGGCTTGGCGGCGGCGGCGGTGGTGGTAGGATGGGGGTCCAGGAGTCGATGTGGGAGCTAACCCTGGGGGTTAGCTTGTTTTTGACGGGTTTTTCCTTTTCTTGGAGGCGTTTGGGCCACACCCGGCGATGCTCGGGGCTTCCTGCTGGCTCTGCGTTCAGGGATCACTCCTAGCGGTGCGGGGAGGGGCGGAACCCTCCGGGGTGCCAGAGCTCGAATGAGGGTCGGCCGCGTGCAGGACAAGGGTCTGCCCCTTACTGTCCTCCTCCCTGAGTTGAAAGGTTGAGACGCTGGAGCCTTTCTGCACGGAGACTTGACGACTTTCCATCCTCCCAGGCTTATCTTCGGCTCCTCCCCAGGGAGGAGACACACCTCTTCCCTCGACAAGTGTGTGATATGCCAGATAAATGATGCTTTTATTTTCCTGTATCCTAGATCCCACCCAGTTTTGTGTCTCGGGAGACTGTCCGCCCATGCACTTTCTTTCCCTCACATCATTTTTCCATTTATTCAAATAGTTATTAGCAAGCACCTGCTACTCCCAGGCACTGATACTGAGGGAAGGATTAAGACGACCGCCAAATCTTTCATCTCCCCTAGTGTTGGGTGGCATCAGGGCTACAAATGATACGAAGCACCTCTCTCTGGAAAACAACAAGGCGTGCCCAGCGACTGAATGGCATATAATTAGTGTCTTCAAAACTGTACAAAGCTTTAATGACCTTTTGGGGGGAGGGGCTGTGCTCAGGGCTCACTCGTTGCTCTGCCCTCGGGAATCACTCCTGGTGATGCCCGGGGTGCTGGGAATTGAACACTGGGTGTGCCACACAATCAAGGCAAGTGCCTTACCTACGGGACTATAGCTCCAACCCGAAGTCTTGCTCGCACTTGCCATCCTATAAATGTTTACATTTACCAAAGTGGCCTTCTCTTAACAAGTGAAGAGAAGGGTCCAGGAGTTAAGAACATCTCTTAAACAACTGCAGAAGGATCATGGATTTCCTGTGACTGGGTTTAGGGCACTCAGGTAACTATTAGAAGGAAAGATATAGCTATATCATGGGAGATCTCATAATGCGTAAATTAATTTAAAAAATAGCACTGTAGCACTGTCCTCCCATTGTTCATCGATTTGCTCAAGCATGCACCAGTAACGTCTCTATTGTGAGACCTGTTGTTACTATTTTTGGCATATTGACTACACCACGGGGAGCTTGCCAAGCTCTGCCGTGTGAGCGGGATACTCTCTGTAGCTTGCCGGACTCTCCGAGAGGGGCGAAGGAATCAAACCCGGAAAAAATAAATTAGTGGTGATACGGTGCTATTAATAAAATAATGTTCATAATATAATAGTTTGATTTTTTTCTGTCAGTAATTGGCAATCAGCAGAGGTTAAATGAAAATTTAATTCATGGAGTGATAGCACAGTGGGTAGGGCGTTTGCCTTGCACGCGGCCAACTTGGCCGACCCAGGTTTGATTCGTCCGCCCCTCTCAGAGAGCCCGGCAAGCTACCGAGAGTATCTCACCCACACGGCAATGCCTGGCAAGCTACCTATGATGTATTCGATGTGCCAAACACAGTGATGTGTCACAATGGAGACGTTACTGGGCCCACTTGAGCAAATCAATGAACAATGGGAAGACAGTGACAGTATTTATGGAGGTGAATTGTACCTGGCAGCGTTCAGGGATCACTCCTGGCTCTACTCAGAGTGACCCCTGACAGTGCTCAGGTAAACATACACAGTGCTAGAGAACAAGCCAGGATCAGCCTCATGCAAGGCAAGTGCTTTACCTCCTGTACTGTCTCTTCAATCCTGCATTGAATTTTTTTAATTTTATTTTTTTTAAATAATCATACATGTATCTTGTTCTCTGGCCTCAAGGCTTCCTGAGAGGTGGTCAAACTAGATAAAGGAATGGAAGCCCAGAGTCTTCTATGTGCTTAGAACTTCTCTTCAGAAGAAGAAACTTTGCATTTCCATCTTGCTACTCTTTAGACTCCTTTCCCATTCATTTTTTTTATTGTTAGCTAATCCTGTTGGACAGTGATCCTCACGGCCATTGTCTATGGACCTGCCCTCCTCTGCTGTACTGGAACTGCTTTCTAGGCTCTCCGGAGTCCAGTAGACTCAGTCTCGCTCCGTGAATCATCCTCCGTATACTCACTGAGCTCATACTATGGATCAGACACAATTCACGGAAGGGTTGGGGGTTAAAAAAAAAAAAAAGATGACTAAGACATCAGTTTGCCACAGAAGATTTTTCAAAATTTGCTTGCTTTAAGGAAGTCTGCTTGAGGAAGTTTTTTCCCTACCAGTGTTGGTAGGGAAATATTGACACCTAATTAGAAAGTGTGTGGGAAAGAGATTGTTAGGAACTATGAGTTAACAGAAGGATCACAGCCTTGTCTGGGCCTAACTCCTGAAGGCTTAAAAGAAGCGATGATGCCTGATCCAAATAAGCCTGGTAGGAAAAGCATCCCAGAAGGAGGAAAAGGCAAAAGCAAGACCTGAGGCATGGTGTGAGGGAACTAGAGATGGTTTCATGTTACTAGAACATTCTGGCCAACAGACAAAGGGCAAAACAAGAAAGACAGACTGGTCACAGGTGAAGGCAATTCATTTTCTGGGTGATTTGAAGCCGAGGGAAAATTTTAACCTGAGAGTCAGCATCTTCCACCATGGGAGATCCGCCTTTTGGGCAGACAACAGGCTGCCGGCCATGGGCATCATGGTTAAATGAGAGGGAAATCAGAGGAAAGAGTTTCATTGGTACTTCTTTGGTGAGAGGCTAGAGAAATATGTGTTTTATCACTAATTCCTTTATCTAAACAGACGACCTTCTGTAAGGTTTGTAAGGCCAGTACTTTTTTTAAATTTTATTTTCATAAGGTTGTTCACATTAATTTATTAATTAAAACATTCAATGTTTTAACACCACCACCATTACACCTTCCCACCACCAAGACTACCTGCCAGGGGCAGATGCTAGGTAATTTATTTTCTATTTTCTATTGCTTATTATGAATATCATGAGAGTGCACAGCTGCAAAAACGGTTGCACACTTCTGAAATTCTAAAATCGTAAATGATTGGGGTCCAGAGACATCTCTAAGGGAGCTAATCCACTTTGAGTTTCATTTGTGAGTCTCTGGATCAAGGTCGTTAATGCACTGAGATGGTGCCTGGAGGCAGTTCATGGACATGACAGCCAGGACCTCAAGCGGGCAGGGGAGACAGGAAGGACTGGCCTGTCTCCGCTGCTGCCATGTGAAGGCCAGTATGTTTTATGGACCCAAGCAGAGTGACTGAAAATTATATGTTCAGGGGTGACTCAAAGCCCCTCAAAACATGCTTCCCACGCAGGAGCCCCAGATTTGGTCCCTGATACTTAGCATGGTCCTCCAGCACTATGGGGAGTCACCCCAGAGCACTGCTGAATTGCCTCCCCTCCCCAATTATATCACAAATGAAAAGGGTATGAACCCAGACAAGGACAATGACTAAAGATGGGTGAGCACAGAAGCTAGGGGGCCCCCGGCGAGCACCTGTGTCTGAGCACCATAGCAAGTCCTGGTGAGCACAACCAGAATGGGTGTGAGCATCACAGATCAGATAAACAGAGATGTGCAACTCCTAGGGCCACTTTAGCCAAATGTGTGAGCCCCAGCAGGGACACAGCCCAATCATGACAACAGTGACTGAATTCCTGGCCCCCTAGAAGAAATGATGATGTCTTCTTGGCAGAGTTGGAAATCCCTGGCAGAGAACGGTGCTTACACATTTGCTTTCTAATGCAAAAGTTCCTTGCCATATCCAGTCACCATTGCTTCCTGTCCAGGTCCAAGAACAGTCTCCTTGTGTTCTTTATGGTCCGATGTCCTATTTCTGGCTACCATGAGAAAGAAAAGCAATGCTTATCAGTTAGCGACTTGGCTCACCAGTCCCTGAGGCCACAGATCTGTATAGCACTTTTCCCTCCATCTGTCCTAATGCCCATTGGTGCTTGTTATATGGTATCTGTGGTGCCACACATGCTTTACTCCTTCCTGATACTGCCTTCCTGTGGGAAAGTCTGTTTCTGGGCTTCAGCATGAGAGGAGACCCTGTTCAGAATGTAGTCCTGGGGTTGGAGAGATAGTACAGCAGGTAGGGCTTTTATTTGCCTTGCATATGGCTGACCTGGGTTCGATCCCCGGCATCCCATATGGTCCCCCAAGCACCGCCAGGAGAAATTCCTGAGTGCAGAGCCAGGAGGAACCCCTGAGCATCGCTGGATATGACCCAGAAAAGCAAAAAACAAAACAAAAAAAAAACAGAATGTGGTCCTATCCATGTGCAATGAAGTATCTTCCAAGCACCTCTTTCCTGTACTGGGACCAACTCTCTCTCTTTGCTTCCCCTACTAGACTGCAAGAGCCCATTGGAAGGTCCTCATTATTCT